AGGATTTAAATAGACATTTCCCAAAGACATATAAATAGCCAATAAGCACATGACAAAATGTTCAATATCATTATTCACTAGAGAGGTGCAAACTAAAACCATGATTATATATCACTCCATACCTACTAGGATTGTTAATTTAAAACAAAACAAAAAGACAAAGAGTAACAACTCTTAGTGAGAATGTAGAGAGATTGGCACTCTCCTGCATTACGGGTCAGAATGTAAAATGGTGCAGCTGCTGTGGAAAATAGTATAGCATTTCCTCAAAAATTATACATAGAATTACCATGTGATCCAGCAATTCCACCTCTAGAATGAAAGCAGAGATTCAAGCACATATTTGCACATCCTTTCTTATAGCAGCATTATTCACAGTGGCCAAAAGGTGGAAACAACTCAAATCCCCATTGACAGATGAATGGATAGACAAATGTGGCATATCCATACAATGAAATAATATTCAGCCTTTAAAAAGGAGGAGATCCTCCGCGGCCAGTGTGGCTCAGGGGTTGAGCATCAGCCTATGCTCCAGGAGGTGTCCAGTTCAATTCCTGGTCAGGGCGCATACCCGGGCTGCAGGTTCAATACCCAGTAGGTGGCATGCAGGAGACAGCCAGTGGATGTTTCCATTATCATCCATGTTTCCATCTCTCTCTCTCCCTCTCCCTTCTTCTCTCTGAAATCAATAAAAAATGTATTTAAAAAAGGGGGGGGGAATCCTGATACATGCTACAACATGGTTGGATCTTGAGGACAGTGTTCTGAGAGGAATGGGGTGGGTGCTCTTGTCCATCACAAGCCACAAAAAAATGCCAGGCAGACAGTCAAGCTTATGTCATCTGCTGTGCTTAGCTGGGGCCACACAAATACAAGCAGAAGTTGTGAGTGGGGTGAGTGTGAGCACATGTGTGTGTATATATGTATACAGATGTCTGTGTGATATGTATGCTACAGTATGGCTTATGGTGAGGGGAGGTACTATCTTCTCTCTCCATACTTAGCCAGGAAAGAGGGCAGCAATATGTTTCTGAAGATCTGAGGGGGATTCACAAAGGAGGCTCAGAAAGGGAAGAAAATAGGCCAATGTTTGACATTGAGGAGGTTAGGCCCTTAACAGGAGAGAAGGATAGGGGAGGCAGGGGGAGGGTGTCCATGCCCTGCTCCTGGGCTGCTCCCTGCTTCCTTCCACTTGTGTAAGTTGGCATTGCTGGGATTTCAGTGGCAAGCAGCATGATTCAGGGCCCATTCCTTCCTTCTGCTATGCTCAAGATTGGAGGGGAGGTTAAGTGACTAGGCTGAGTTGCCTGCAGGTATAGTATGGGTAGCCAAGCAGAGGCATATAGGCTTGCTGTGTTTCCTGCACCTGAAGGCTGTGAAGGAATGTTTATACCCCCTCCATGTACATCTTTGTTTTTGCCAAATCATCTAGTATTTATATTGGGTACCAGGGATGCTGTAGGCACAGCTGTGAACAAAACCACCCTCATGAGGTTTAGATTCTAGGGCTAGGAGACAGAAAATGAGCAATGCTAAGATGATTCAGATGCCTTCAGATATGGAGATATAAACTGAGAACGAAGTAAATTCAAGTGGTGTTGCACTGACATGGGAGTGTCTTTGATTGGGTGTCATGGAGAAGACCCTTCTGTGCATGCAGCACTTGAGAGAGACAGAGCCCTAAGTGCAAAGGGACAAAGGAGGTGCATTCCAGGTAGAGGAGCAACCAATGGAAAGGTCCTGGGGCAGGTGTTGTTGGGCCTGTGTGAGGACCCCAAGGAGGCTGAGTGACCAGAGCAGAACAAGGGAGAGGGTGGTAATAGAGGACAGGGCAGAGAGGTCTCAGCAAGTGCATCTCGTAGGGCTGCCAGGCCCTGGTGAGGAGTGGGACTTAATCTGTGACCTCACCCTAAAGTGCTGTGGTGCCAAGTTTCTTCATTTAACTCTAGGTATTGTAGATCTTTCACTGTCTGTACACATTCGTGCTCCATGCTTTTTAAAGATTGCAGAGATGCCCACAGTGTGACATAGCAGCAGCATTCACTGGACCTCTCTCTACTGCAGGCTAATTCCAGTGTTTGCTTTTCCCAACAGTGCAGCAGCAGACACCTATACAAGCATTGCCCCCTCTCCCCCATTTCATGTCTCTGGGATAAAATACAAGAAGTGTCTTGGGGGTCAAAGGACTTGAAAGTTTATTATTTGCACAGCTACTGATTAGTGAGACTGCATGAGGACCAAGGCTGGCTGCTTGGAATGGTGCCCAGAAAGCAGGACTTGCACAGAGCACAGAGTGGCAGCTAAAGCTGGTTTCTCTCCCATCTTGCTGCTCTGCTGACCTCATGGTGCTCTCCTTAACAACCTCTGCCCAAGTCTCCAGTCTTAGTCACATGGCCAAACCGAGTGGGAGGAGGCCAGGAATGCAGTCCTTATCCTCTTGTTGTGATGGAAGGGAAAGCATGGAGATGGTTCTCTGGGACCCCATCCTGGTGGTGCCCGCTCCCTGCAGAGCCCCATCCTAAAGACAGGGCCAGACTCACCTTTCTGTTCCAATACCTGGGCTACCTAGTTTCTAGGCCAGCACTGCCAGTGGTTAGGGGCAGGCAGGGCACTGGATCCCAGCTCCACCTCAGATAACACAGTCCTCTGAGTCTCATTTTCTTCATTTTTCTCTGTTGCTGAGAAAGAAGGAGGATGCAGCATGTACAGAACTTAGCACATGGTGGTGTAAGCTCCGGTGGTCCTGTAGGTGGGCTGCCCACAGGAGCCAGGCTGGTTGGTTGAACTTGAGCAGGTAGAGAGGGGAAGAGGCACTCTGGGAAGAACTGCAGGCAAAGGGACAAAATTGGGCTTATGGGGGGTGGCCACGCCATTAACTAGAAAGGTAAGTTGAAAACAACCACAGAGGCCTCATACACCAGGCTGGACCTCAGTGAGCAGTGGGCAGTCACTGAAGGCTTGGGAATAAGAAATTACCCTGATTGGTGAAAGGAGAGCAAGCAGGTGAAGACCTAAAGCAGGGCAAGCTAGGTGAGGGACAGGAGGTAGGGTGGAGGGCAGGAGAGCAGCTCTCTGGGGATGGTGGAGCAGGTTAAGGGTGGAGCTTGCAGCACCCTTAAGCAGAGCTTGAGGTGCCTGCCGGATCCCCCATAGTATGCCTGGTGGACCATTGGTGCTTTAGGGAAATTCTGTAATACTAATTTGGGACTCATCTAAATAAAATGACAAACTGGTGACAGCCACACCACGTCTACCTACTCAAGGTGCTGCTTCCCCTCAGCTTCCAAGCTGCTACACTTCCTTCCTGCCTCTGCTCTCTGCCCCTTCTCAGTCAACCCTGCAGACTCCTGCTCAGCTGACTGATCCTAACCCGCAAATTCCCTAGCTGTAACTCTTCAGATTCTAAGGATCTTTTTGCAGTCCTGATGCTTTAACACTGCACTTCATCGAACTCCATACTCATACCTAGCTGCCTGCTCTGCAACCCCTTGAGTGTCCAGTGGCATCGCAAACTTACCACAAACCTCTATCCCTCCCCGCCTCTCAGCAGACATTTCATCACAAATTGTCACCTAAGTGCTCAAGTCAATAACCTGGGAGTCTGCCCTATCCCTCTCTGTCCTCATAGACATCCAAGGCCCAGCACATCCAACTCCCCACCAGCTGTCACAAACCTAGTCCCAGCTATGACAACCTCCAAGCTCTTAATATTACAACTGAATCATGTCATTCCCCTGCTCACACCCTTTGTGTGATTTCACATTGCTCTTACAATCTAACCTAAGGTCTTTCTGTAGCTCACAGGGCACCAGCCACCTCTCTAGCCTCATCTCCCCAACTCCCTAAGCACTGTTCAAAAAAGGGATAACCATACTAACCTATCTGCTTTTTTTTTTTTTCTTTTTTTGCCTCAGTGACTCCATGTCAACTTCCCTCAGGTCTCTGCTCAAATGTCCCGTCTCACTGAGGTTCCCCCTACTTCCCTATTTACCAGAACATCTCTCACTTGCCTTTTACCCTGCTCCATTTTTCTGTATAACATGTATGGCCACCCAATACTCTGTCTTATTTTTGTCTGTTACCTGACTAGAATGTTGACTCCCTGAAGATATTCCAACACCTACAGCAGCACAGACACCTAGAAAGTGACTATAAACATTGGCTGGGTGGAGGCTGAGTAAGCTTTCATCATACCTGATCCCACTGGTCACAGATGGCCAGAGTCCCTCAGCACCACATTCCACAGGGCAAGCGCAGAGAGGCCTGGCTTCTCTCTTGATGTCACTTGGTTAGGTGCTGGCAGATGGTGATGAAAGAGATGAGTGTGGTTCCTGTTGTTTTAACATATAGGTTTTATTATTATTCAGGTTTAGGGAGGCCAACAGATCAGGAGATGACTGTTGTTGTATTTACCCACAGACCCCTAGAAGCAGGATGGAGAATATAACACAGGGCAATGCAAGGAAGCACCAGGGTGCTCAGGAGGCAGAGGGAGTAGGGGAACTGTGGGCAGAGCCTCGATTGTGTTTTTTCTGCAAGGAATAAATGAAGCAGGATGAGCAGATTTAGGATTGACTAGTTTAAATAATTTGGGGGCTCTAAGGCATAAGGCTGTCCCTGGTATGGGGGCCCTCTTAGATGATGACTACCACAAAGGACATAAACACATTATCAGTTTTGTGAATCATATTTTTTAATGATTTGCCACGCTGCTGAGGTTGGGGGTCAAATTCACCGAGAAGAGGAAGTTACAGAAGACAGAGAGTGGCTTAGATGAGGGTGGGAGTAGCTGAGGTGAGAGGGATGTGGATGGAATCTGTGCTTTTTAAGAGAGAGTCTGGGATTTGGTGCCTGATTGAACATGGGCATAGAAGAGAAGGGAGTGTCAAGATGACTCTGTCTCTTAGGTAAGAATACCTGTGAATCATGTGCTATTTGCTGAGGTGGCAAAGAGCAGGGGAAGATGAGTCTGGGGATAGGTGAGGTAGATGTGCACAGATATGTGTGAGAACAGCCAAGTGGAGACTCAGAAGAAGCTGCTGTTGATGGAGGTGTGGAGGTAAGGAGAATAGATGGGAATGTCAGTGTTATCAGCAAATAGATGGAAACTGAAGTCATGGTCCTCAGAGAGAGAGAGAGAGAGAGAGAGAGAGAGAGAGAGAATGGCCTGGGCACAGCCTGAAGAACACCGCCATTTGGAGATACTTGCAAAGGAGGCAAAGAGAGCAGCTGGACAGTCCACATGGGAGCCAGAGCCCAGGGGAGAAGAAGGAGCACATCTGAGGGGCAAGTGGCCTCCACCAGAGTGAATGGAGTGCTAGCAGGTGGGTGGGGTGACAGAAGCCAAAATTCCCTGGGTGAGGGGTGTCTAAAGGAGGCTAGTGGAGACGGTGACTTTGGCCAGCTCTCAGGGGGTGGCTGTGAATGACAAGGAGTGACACAGCTGTCAGAAAGGGCCCAAGCAGCTGGGAAAGTGTCACCACCACTAGAATCCCAGCAGGACACAGGAGGTTCTCGTAAGTGGAGTAATTTGAGGAAATTTTGTTCATTGATCTTAGCCTATTGATAATGTTAATCTAAAAACAAAAGGGTCTTTCAAAGAGAAAGGCAACACCTATTTACAGAGATCAATAAGAATTGCTATTTAAAAGTACTAATTCAGGCAGAAGCCTAAACAGTATTCTGATTAGGAAACAAAGGCATTGGATATTTATGAGAAAGTGAGGAGGAACAATTACATCAACAGAAGGAAGGCATTTCTATTGGTGCAGATAAACTAACATAGTGATATTTCTTTTTTCCATTTTTCTTCAGATAGAGTGGGAGGGAGGGAGAGAGAGAGAGACAAAGAGAAACATTGACATGAGAGGGACACATCAACCGGTTGCTTCCTGCACGACCCCGACCAGAGTCGGGGACAAACTGCAACCAAGGTACGTGCCCTTGATTGGAATCGAACCCGTGACTCTTTGGTCTATGGGCCAAGGCTGTAACTGCTGAGCCAACTGACCAGGGCTTAATTATAACAGTTTTTAATTTTCAGTCCTATATTCATCTACTTTCTTATAATCTTTGTAAACAGTCTTTTTAGCGCACAATGTTGTTAAGGTCCAGTCCAAAGTTATTTTGCTGTTTCTAACATTCCTAAGGTTTGAGGCGTAAGACACTCAAGGCATTTCCTCTGGGATGGCAGCTCTGGCTTCATTTTAAAGTGGCCCCATTTATTTATTTATTATTTTGACAATGACCAATGTATTGGCTGGACCAGCTTTTGTGATTCTTCTGTTACAAGATGCCCTTCAGCAATAAACTTTGGGGGAAAAAAAAGGTTTATTACTTAGAGGACCTGGAAATTACCCTGCACACCTGGGTCCACACAGTGAGAAGAGAGAGAGCTAGAGAGAGACAGAGAGGCTAGCCCTTTCATATAAGGGACTGGGGCTTTGCTTTTATTGGGGTTCTGGGTGGGGCCTAGGGTTTGAGGGTTCACTCTTTATTGGTGAATTTAAAACATAAGAGCAAAAACATAAAGCAAGGGAAGAGAAAACAACTAGCCCAAATGATCAACTATTGAACTCAACCAAGATCTCTAAAGCAGGAGCTTCAGGGAGGGAGGCAGCCTGGCTCTAGTCTCCTTGGTGACAACAGGTTTGAGATGGAGGCATCTTTGAAGGGGATGCCTCAGCCATCAAAATTTAAATCAAGCACTTGCGTTATAAAAAGGGAAAAAAAACAACTCTCAGAGTTTATGGTACAGGAGCCCTAAGGAAGGGGCTATTTAGGGATGGGGAAGCACTGAGGGGTTGTGCAGTATTGGTAACAGAGGGAGCCATGCCCACCCCTGGGTCTGAGAGGACAAAAGGAGAAACCAGTTCCCAAACCCAGAAGTCATGGCTGTATGAAGAGGACCACTTGGTGTGGAGTAGCGCAGTTTCCAGAGAGAAAGGCAGCCGCTGCAGCACCTGGCAGAGAGCTGAGTTCCTAGACCCTGACCCATCTTTCCTTTTCATGCATCTCCTGCTGCTGCCTTCCAGAAGGTAAGGACCACAGCTGCCCTTCCCTACAGTGAGCTCAGCACAGGGCAAGGGAGGGGGAAATGAATTATATGGTACAGTGAACACATATATTTGGAAACAGAATTAATCAGAGAATTTCATGTTAGGGATCAAAGTTAGTAACCAGAATTAGAATTTTAACTCAAATGCAAATTCAAATAAAAGTCTCCAAAAAACATTAGCTTTTCTCTCTCTCTCTCTCTCTGCTTTTCTCCCTCCTTCCTTCCTCCCAGTTACAATTAGTTAGATTCTGTGGACAAGGTTAAATGCCAAGCATCAGGCTTGGGGTGGGACAGGTAAGTAGTGTTCAAGGAGTTCTCAAACTTTAATGTACATTCAAATTGCCTGAGAAGCTGGTTGGGATGCAGACTCTGATTCAGTAGGTCTGGCGTGGCCTGGAACTCTGCATTTCTAACCAATTCCAGGAGATGCCTGAAGAGCCTTTTTGGATCTGGAGGACCTACCTGGACCCAGAGAGAGAAAGAGAACAGCTTTGAAGAGCAGAGGGCCCAGAGATGGAGGGGAAAGTTTGTGGAGTTTGTGCAAAGGTTGATCCTCTGCTGAGATGGTGGCAATGGGTCAAGGAGGCCAGATAAGGCCTCGCCAAGGGTGATGACTGAGCTAGGGAAAGGGCACGTGGTCTGGAGAAGTGGGAGATAGGAGGGTGCTGGCAGCAGGGAGGTGTGTAGTTAAAGCATAAAATCCCAGAGTAAAAGAGAAGGATGGTTGAAAATGGGGTCCCCCTGCAGTGTCCTGTCCCTCTTGCAGCTGGAGGCTGCAGCCCCAGGAGTACAGAGAAAATGGCTCTGAGGAGTAACGTAGAGAAAATAGCTGGGGTGGGGTAGAGCAGGTTAGCAGGAGGCCTGAGAGGCAGCTTGCTCAAAGAGTTGGCAGGCTTCTCTGGTTTCCTCTGTAAGCAGCAGAACCTTCTCTGTGCTATGATTCAGAAGGTGTGAGGACCTTCTAATGCTCAGAGTTCACACTAGATCTCTCCTTGTCCAGAAGGGTATGTATTTTATCACTTTTTATGAGGTTATTTTGCACCCAGCTCACCTTTTCCTATTTCTCCCGGAGAATTATTTTAAAAGTAGATTTATGTTTTTAAAACTTTTTAATAAAAATTTTAATTTTGTTAAAGCACTAGAAAAAACAAATAAATTTTAAAAATTTAACCTTCAGCCCTGGCCGATTTGGCTCAGCGGTTAGAGCGTCGGCCTGCAGTCCAGAGAGTCCCGGGTTCGGTTCCCGCTAAGGGCACGTACCTCGGTTGCAGTTTGTCCCCGGCCCAGAATGGGTCGTGCGGGTGGCAGCCACTCGATGTGTCCCTTTCACGTCGATGTTTCTCTCTCTCTCTCTCTCTCTCTCCCTCCCACTCTATCTGAACAAAAAATGGAAAAATGTCCTCGGGTGAGGATTGAAAAAAAAAAAAAAAATTTAACCTTCAGATTCAGAATGCCTTTTTAAGCTGGACACAAAAACCCCACAGTATCTCACTAAACAAACATTAAAATGTCCTGTAAAGAAAAGACATGATAAACAGTCCAAAGATAATTGACAAATCGTCTCAAGGAAAAATATTTTTAGCAGCTCTGACGAATGAGCCAATGTCCTTTAATAGATAAAAATTCTTAAGAATCGTTTAAAAATTACAACATCCCAACTAAAATGGGCAAAGGACATTAACAGAAAGGAGCAAAGGGATAATTAACATCTGAAAAGGCAACACAATCACATTCACAATAGGAAAATGCAAATGAAAACTGAGATGCCTGCCCTGACCTGCGGGGCTCAGAGGTTGGAGCATCGGGCTGCGCACTGGAGAGTCGTGAGTTCGAGTCTGGTCAAGGGTATGTACCCAGGTTGTAGGTTCTATTTTGTGCCCTGGTTGGGGCACATGCAAGAGGCAACCAATCCATCTCTCTCTCCTGTGTTCTCACTCTCTCTCTCTCTCTATCCCCCACACCCCTTCCCTTCCACTCTCTCTAAAAATCAATGGAAAAAATATCCTCTGGTGATAATTAACAAAAAAATTTAAAAATTAAAATTAAAAAACAACAACTGAGATACCATTTATCAGATTGACAAAGTTCCTGGTGTGTAAGGAACAGTCCAACTCAGCTTAGTGATGGAGAGTGACCATTGTAGAAGTTTGGAAATAACTTCAGGGTCCATCGGGGACTTATTAAGCAGTAATGAATCTTGTGCATGAACAGATGTATTGTTTGAACTTTTTAAAATTGTGGTAAAATACACATAAAATGTAGAATTTTTATTTTTAAGCATTTAAAGCATTTTCATGTGTACAGTTCAATGACATTAAGTACATTCACATTGTTGTGTAACCATCACCATTGTCCATCTCCAGAATTATCTTCATCTTGACTCTATACCTATCAAACATTAACTCCCTATTTTCATTTCCCCAGCCTCTGGTACCCACTATTTTACTTTCTGTCTCTATGAATTTGACTCCTCTAAGGATCTCATATAAGTGGAATCATACAGTATTTTCCCTTTTGTGACTGATTTCTTTCACTTAATATGGTGTCCTTGATGTTTATCTATGTTTAGCATGTGAGCAGATGCATTTTTAGTGAAAAAGCAAGTGGCATCTAAGTATGTTTATGTATAAAATATCTCTGAGTAGATATACAAAAATCTGTGTGCTAGTAAGGGCTTCAGGTAAGGATTTATCATATCCACACATCAAACATGCATTATTAAAAAAAATTTGTTATGTATATGCACTGCTTTTTCAATTAAGAAACAATTAAATTTCACTAGGGTCTCAACATTTTCACTAGGTAAGAAACATTCAAACCTATTAGAGTTTTTGTGAGTTTATTTAAGCCAAACTGTCGACAATTGCCAAGAAACAAAATCTCAACAGATTGAGATAATGCTCTGGAGAATGGCAGTTTTCCACCTTATTTTATACATAACAATCAAAAGAGAAGATTCAAGTGAGTTACATGAAATCCATTGGTGATAGCTTAGGGAGGTGGGAGAAAGCAAAGGGAGAAACCTCTGGGATTGGATGAAAAGTAAAATGATAAACACATACATCTTTTACATAGTGAGTATAGGACAGTTAACAGTCAACGATTAACTCAATAACAATGAGGAGATTTCTGGTCTCTGCGGAGTGGTGCCTATGCTTTTAGGGATCCAGAAAAAAAGAAAATTACTTAGACATTCCAAAGATGTGCTATCATAGATGCAAAAAGACAATAGACAGGCTCAGTTAAAGTAAAGATTGACCTTTGTCATGGAAGATGCCGGCCTAGGACATAAACTGCTTTTAGTTCAAAAGTTTTCATTTCAGACCATCCTTTGTGGTTACTTTAGTTCCCTGAGTTTGCAAGACCACCATGCAGGCTTGCCATGCAGGCTTCCCCTGCATTTGTCAGGTTAGCATGTGGCCCCTTTCCATCCACAAGGGGTTTAGTTTGTTTGCTTTTGGTCTATTTAAATTAAAGTGGTATATTCTGATGTTTATGGTACGTTTAATTAAAGTTTACTTCCTATAAATCTAATCATTTAGTCACTAAGAAAGATAGTTAGAAAATAATAAAGATTCAGCAACCTGTACCCCTGAGTTCTTCACAGGCCTCATCATTCCCTATAGCCTCAGCCTCCTTCCCCTTTACCATTATATGTGCTGCCTGGCCCTGAAGGTATTTAAGTTTTCAGCCCCAGATCCTGACCTTCCTGCCAGTCCTACAGGACTCCTCTCTTCCTCAGTCTTCCCACACCCCATGACCCATCTCCTCAGGGCCCAGCCCTTAGTAGTATACTACCCATCTCCCAGGCCCTCACTTTCCCTCCATCATCCCAGGTCACCCTCCCCAGCACTGGTCCAAGAGAACCAGCTCTCTGAGCTTTCCACCAAAGCATATCTCTATGCTCTCCAGCAGCCCCCACCCCATCTGCCCTCTGGGCTGGCTGCCCTCCCAGGCTGGCATACACTGGAATCTCCAAGCTACAAAAGATTCCTGAGTTGAAGTTGGAGGAAGTATGGGATCAAATACCTCCTTCCTTCCCTATGATTATCAGTTGAAGAGAGAATAAAGAAATAGGAGTCTCTGATGTTCCAGCCCTAATAAAAGAAACTCAGCAGCTCTAAGCAAAAGCTCTGGCAGGGCAGAAGGGAGACACTTAGGGCCCCTGACCTCCCTATAATAACCGTGTGCTGCTCTTCAACAACACATTGAAGGAAGTGAAAGGGAAGACATTTTCTGTGTGCCAAGCATATGTTCTAGGAATTTTGTGGCCATTTTCTGGCACAGTTCTTACAACTTCCCAGCAAAGTCAGTGTGATTATATCAGACATGGAAACTGAGGCTCAGAGAAGCTGAGAGACTTGCCGAACCCACTCAGCAGGCAGGTGAGGGTGCTGATGCTGGAGCCCTATAATGTCTGTTTCTCCCCAGCCTCATGCTGTATTCACAATTATCACAAAATATGTCATTTGGCTATGGTCCTCACTTTTGTGTCTCCCCAGAGAACAGCCTGGAATCCACAGACAACAGTTCTTCAATCACTGAAGAAACAAAGAAGCATAGGAAAAAAGGTACCTCTGGAGCCAGGAGCTGAAGTCCCAGGTGGTGGGGGGCACACTCTCTCCTTCAGCTCCAGATGCCTTTAGACCTAGTCTTCAATATGAAGGGTAAAGGTAATGTTTTTGTTTCCATCAGTAAATGGGTTACTGAGACCTGAAATAACAGGAACATAAAGTAGGATATGTTTCCTTCAGTAATAGGAAATGTGGGAAACAGTCCATGGCTCCATGAGGCTCTACCAATAGCAGTTCTACAAAATCAACCAGGTGACCATATCCTAAGTCTTTCTTCTCCACTGTCTTTATCTGTAGGGCTTTCAACCACGAGGTTGTCACATGGTCACAAAATGGCTGTTGCAGCTGCAGCCATCACATCCTATTCCAGACAGGGAGAAGAACCAAAGAGAGGGGCAAAACTGCCCATCTTCCAACTCAGCCCTCCTTTGGAAAAGATCTTTCCCAAAAGCTCCATCCAACAGTTTCTGAGTACATTTTTTTTTGGTCACAGGGCCATAAGTATTTGCAAGGGGGGCTGAGAAGTATAGCTTTAGAACTAGGTACATGGCTGCAACCTACTAGGAGAAGAAGGGCAGGCAGCTAACTGCACATGCCTCTTCCTCTGAGCCCCTGCTTTGTTACTCCACACTTTGGATTCCTGGACTCCCTCTTGGTTTCTGTACTGCTTCCACCCACCCCGAGACCCCTGGGCTTATAGGCCAGTCTGGTCTTTCTGCAGAGGTGTGCAGATGCAAGCATGTTCCCTGTGCCTATCTTTCGCAGTCCAAGCTTCCACCCCTCAGCCCACCCTGCCCACAATTTTATCTTTCTTTTAATTATTAAAATCTAAACCTGCCCAGAAATAGAGACCACTGAACTCACATGTCAGTCACCAGATTGGGCAGTTGACAAGTTTTGCCACATTGGCTTCATCTATCTCTTTTCTCCTTTTCTTTTAAGTCTCTGCCAAAATATGTTAAAGTAAAATCCAGATGTGTCATTTCATCCCTATATACCTCAATGCACATTTTTCAAAAATAAGGACATTTTCTTACAAGCTCTCAATGACATTAACCAGACCATCATCAGATTTACCCAATTATCTAAGAAATGTCTTCCTCCAGAAGATTTGTTTTAATTGGGATTCAAATGATACAGAAACATCTTCCATCTCTTTTAATCTAGCAAAGCTGCTCCCCCACATCCTTACATTTTCTGTACCTTGAGTTGTTGAAAAGTGGTGCTAATTATCCTGAGAATGTCCTTTGTAATGTGTCTGCTTCCTGATGCTGTCGTTATAACTGTTTCTCTGTTCCCAATATTTCTTTTAATTGGACACTAGATGTTTGATAGGATGAATCCATGTTCCGCTTTGTCTGCAGACTCTTTCCTATGTGGGCTGTGTACTTCCTACCACCTTTCATAAGAAGCCCACATATCCAGCTGTCTCCCTGTTGGCCATCCTGCAATGGTAGGTTCTGGTGATAGCCACCTGACCCTCCATCACAGATCTCCATCAGCCATTCACCCAATAGTTTCTTCTACCTATGGGTGCTTGTGCTGAGCTGGTTGTTAAACTAAGGGTGAGGGGTCTGGGTTTGGGATTTGTTCGGTTTCTTCACTGAAATATAATTCATATACAGTGAAAAGAATAAATCTCAATTATACAGTTTGGTAAGGTTTTTAAAATTTTTATTGATTTTTAGAGAGGAGGGCGGAGAGAGGGCTAGAGAGACATCAATGTGTGAGAGAAACATCAATTAGCTGCCTCCTACATGTGCCCCGACCAGGGATCAAACCTGCAACATGGCTAGGTGCCTTGACTGGGAATCAAATCTGCCACCTTTTGGTGTGTGGGACAAAGCTCCAATCAACTGAGCCATACAGGCCAGGGCCAATTTGATAAGTTTTGACAGGTGTATATAAATTCTTACCCTCTACCCATTCATCATCTAGAACATTTCCATCTGCTCAGTTCTCTTTTCCCCAAAGATGGCCAGTGTTCTGCTATCATAGAATCATTTTATTCATTCTTGAGCCTCACATAAATGGAATCACTCAGTGCTCTTTTGGTCTGGCTTTCTTCACTCAACCTCACGTCTGTGAGACACATGCAGCAGGAGTCCCTTCTCTGTTGTTGCTATGTATATTCTGTTGTGCACATATGCCAACAATGTATTATTCTTTCTAGAATCGATGAACATTTGAGTTGTTTCTGGGTTTTAGCTTCTACAAATAATAGTGCTATGAATATTCTTGCACATGCTATTTGGGGGACATAAGCACCCATTTCCCCTGGGTGTATACAAAATAGAGGAATTGCTGGTCTTTAGCAGATACAGCTGGACAGTTTTCCAGGGTAATTATGCCAATTCACAATCACACCAACAGGTGTGAATTACAGTTTCTCCACATCCTCTCCAAGAATCGGCACTTGGTTGATCCATTTAATATTACCTGGTTATTTGGATATGTATCTTATGTTCCCTAGTGACCACCTAGGGTGACTACCTGTTTATGGGCCATTGATGATTCTGTGTTGTAAAATGCCTGTTTCTGTCTACTGCTAACTTTTCTATAGGGTTGTCTGTCTTATTTTAATGATTTCAGGGAGCTCTTTATATAATCTGGATATAAGTCATTCACTAGTTTTAAGCATTGCAAATACTTTCTCCTACTTTGTGAATTGGGTTTTCACTCTCTTACTGGTGACTTTTAGGGAACAAGAATTCTTGATTTTAATGCAGTTCAATTTAACAAGCATTTCCTCGTGGTTAGTCCTTTTTTGCATCCTTTTTAAAAACTATTTGCTGACCCCCAAGGTCATGAAGGTTTCTGTTTATTGTATGTTCTATAAGCAATATTTTAATTCTACAATAAGATCTATAGACCATTCTAATTGATCTAACTGCAAACATTTTGTTTTTAGATTTTGAATTTTCTGCTGTACCATCATGTCATCTTGAATGACATTATTTTTCCTTTCTTTCCAATTCTATACCTTTTATTTCTTTTTCTAACCTTGCTGCAGTATCGAATAGTGCAAAGATAGGCAAAAATAGGCATCCATGCCTTGTTCTTGATCTTGGTTGGAGGTGACATTCAGTATTTCACCTAGATCTTTCTTATACATACCTGTATGTATTTTCTATTGCTGCTGTGACAAATTATCACAAACTCAGTGACTTAAAACAACACAAATGTGTTATCTTTACAACTTTTGAGGTCAGAAGACTGATATGAATCTAACAGGGCTAGCATCAAGGTGTCCCACGGCTGTGTTCCAATTAGAGAAAAGGATTTGAGAGAAAATCCTTTTTCTTGCCTTTGCCAGCTTCTAGAGGCTGCTGGGACAGGAGACCGTTACGGGTTGGCTTGGAGAGAGGGTTCTTGTCCCATGCCTATCTGTGATTTTCTTTTGCACACTGACTTTGGTTCTGACAGGCTCCAGGAGAGACTTCCAAAGAGCCCCTCTGTCAGCCTCAGGAGGCTAAGGAGGTAGATGGAGATAGTAAACTGGGCACATGGCTTCCCCCAACCCTTCCCACCTTCCCACAGTCCCCTCTCAACTCTCAGAAATGACGTAACAGATTTAGAAATGATGGACAGCTCTGGACAACAAGAAGAGGGTGACACCGGGGAGCGGAAACTGATAGGGAGCTTAGGGGGAGGGAAGGCAGACAGGGTGGGGTTAAGTGGGGGACAACACAGCTCCAGAAGGAAGGCACAAAGGGATGAATGGCTCTGAAAGGAGTGGGAGGGGCCTGAACAGAATGACCACAGCCAATTCCTTCCTCAGACCTCACTTCACTCTCTCACTCCTGTTCCTGGCCAGCAACCCAGGGCAGAGGCATTTGCCCTAAATTCAGAATGGTGAGGACTAAGCTTGGTCAGAATGGTGGGGCAACTGAGAGTCTTTATGTCCCCAAACTGGCTGGCAGCATACATGGGCTGCACCTCCCAGTCTCCATCAGAGAAATTATGATAGTTAGCAAGCACTGAGCATTATCATTGGCCAAAGTAAAGACTTTACATGACTTAATTTTCTTAACAACCTATGAGGTGGGAATTATTCTTACCCTTAATAAGGAAACTGAGGCACAGGGAGGTAAGAAGTTCACCCAAGGCTATGTAGCTATACTCTATGTGGAGACTGGCTCCAAAACCAAAATTTGCATTTGCAGTCACGTGAGTAGGGCTGTTTACTATTAATGTGAAGAATGACCCACAATCAAGAATGGCAACCATTTGAATCAAGAATGGCAATCATCCCAGAAGTGCAAAATTAGTTTAACATTTATAAACCAATCAATGTAGTATACCCCACAAGAGAATGAGAGAAAAAATTATATGATCATTTCAATAGATGCAGTATAAGTATTTGATAAAATTAAAAACTTATTTTGAATAAAATCTTAGCAACCTAGGAATAGAGGGGACTTCCTCAATCTGACGAAGGGAACTGAGGTGGGCTGAGCAATGGCTCCCAGAGATGTCCATATCTGAATCCCCAAGCCTATGACTATATTCTCTTATATGGTAAAGGGGCCTTTGCAAATGTGAGTAAGTTAAGGATCTGGAGATGGGAAGATGATCCGTGATTATCCAGATGGGGGGGGGGGTGCACAATATAATCACAAGGGTCCTTATATGAGGGAAGCAGGATGATCAGAAGCAGAAGGAGAAGGTGTGACATGAGAAACAGAGGTTAGAGCACAGGCTCTGTTCCCTCCTCAGCAGCCAGGCTAAGAATTGACTGAAGGCCTTCTGGCTTCCTCCCATCAGCTAGGCAAAGGAGCAGATAATCTTTATTCTCATTCTTAGCATAGCTCAGACAGGAGTTTTTACAGGATTTAAGACTTATGGAAAAGAATAGTACAGAGGTGTTGTAGAATGCCCATGAGTGCTGGGCTTTTCCATGATGCAGTCTCCTCAGGGCGGACTGCAGGTGAAGCCTCCTCGGCAGGACTGTCTGAGTGACATGCTAGGTTCCCTTTGGAGAGAGTACCAACTCCTCTCTCTTACCAGTGTTCACTTTGCTCACTTGAGTGACCTGAAGTCTGCCAGTCTCCACTATACAGTTCCTTTTTTCTTGTTAATAAGTATATTTTGCAGAGGTATTTTGAGGCTATCATAACTTCGAATCCCTTTAACAGTGCCCTCTTTTTGCTGATGACGGTGAAAAATGAGATAGACCTCCCTCCGGAAGGCTGGTCAGCATTGTCTCTGAAGCCTGGAAACTGCCTGCAGCCCTTGGCCTCTAGTCTCCCTTTGGAAAATCAGTTCCCCAAAACCCATCAGTGGTGGTCAGTGATGTCCTCAGGACTTCTGGGTGCTATGAATTGCAATGCACACCGTTGCGAATGCACCCTGATGACATGGTATGTCACTGCAGCCCTTAATGTTTCCTTACAAGATCCACAAAGAATTAGTAATTTCACAGAAAACTGCTAATGGTAAAGTGTTTGTTTGTTTTATTTTAAGGAATATATGGAATTATTTAAAATGTGTGTTGAGCCCTGTCCTGTTTGGCTCAGTGGTTGGAGCGTCGGTCTGCGGACAAGAGAGTCCCGGGTTCAGTTCCCGCTAGGGGCACGTACCAAAAAAAAAAAAAAAAAGTGTGTTGAAAAGTACTGGAAGAAAATACCCCGAAAAATGTTAACCAGCAGCTGATTCAATGCAAAGTGTTGTTGTTGTTGTTGTTGTTGTTTTAAACTACATTTTCTTTCACCTTCAATAATTTGTTTTGTTTTGTTTCCAATGAATCCTGTTTATTTTCAATCAAGGATAGGGGGGAAAGCAACCATATTTTTAAGTCCCTCGTTTGGTGCCTTTTGGCTTCTGCCCTCCCTGAGACCCTCTGAGCTGAGCTGTAGGGACCTCTCCCTAAGCCCTGGGGGTAGAAGTAGCAGAACTGGGATCCTTGGTAGTCCTCACCTCCCCAGGCCTCAGGCCCTAGTCTTCCACTGGGAGGCTGGTGGAGACTCCTGAAAAGACAAAGCATATTCACCTCGAGTGCCCACCTCCCACCCCCATGCAGGCAGGCACCTCAGCTCTGTAGTCAGCAGGCTCTTGCTTCCCTCCTCTACAGAGTAGAGGTTCCTGAGATTTTAAATGAGAGATGACAGAGGACCAGGGACAAAGCAGATGTCTGAGACACAGGAGGGGCTGTGTTCACAAGGTCTCTTTCAGATGCCAGGGACAGAAGCCCAAATTCCAACTAGGTTAAAACAGACAGGTGAGTTTATGAAGCTGGAAGGTCCAGTGGTGGACTTCAGGCACAGCTGGACCCAAGAGAACATTTTCCACTTGCTCCTGCTTTCACTGAAGCATCCTGTACTGGTCTGGGTGGGCACCGGGACTCCAGAGGCACAGATCTCAGCTTGGAAGAGCTGGCTCATCTCTCCAATGAAGTATCTCTCTCCCCAGTGTCTGTGATTGTTCCTGACCATTCAGCTAATCCTTTCCATATGTCTGGGGATGTGGATTTCTTCCTGCTCAGAGATCAGAAGCGGAATAAGTCTCACTCAGTGAGTATCCAGGACCAATGCCTGCCCCCAGCTCTTGCTTCCCTTACACAAGCAGCAGCCAGCCAGATTTCCAAAGAGCATTTTCCTCAGGTCACTCTCTCACTTTAGAATTGTTCACTATTTCCCACAAAATCAACTCGAAACCCTGCCTGGCTCTCAGGTCTCTGACCTGTCCCACTGTCTTACCCAATTTCATCACCACTGTGCCTGGGCCTTTGAAGTTGCTGTGGCCATAGCCTTAGCTATCACACTTTTGCTTCTGCTGTCCCTTGCATGAGATTCCGTCCCCTCTGGGGCTCTCCTTGGTCTTCAAGGCCCATCTCAGATCTCAGGGATGCTCTCACTTCCCCCAGGAAATTGCCCCACCCCTGATTGCTCTGGTCTTGTACAGTCCCCTGGTTGGAATCCTTAGAGGCTAGATATGCACACAGATACACACACATGTACACATACACATATGCACGCCCCTCAACAGTACGTGGAAGTCCTAGGGCCAGCTCTGACCCCAAGGCTATGCCTTGTCTCCACCCCAGCATAGTCTCTCTTGTCTCCCAATCCCAAGAGCCCATGTGCCCAAATAGCCCACTCTCCCCATGTGCACGCATGCGTACACACACACACACACACCTGCCACAGCATGGCTGGCCAAGGCAAGCAAGCCTCACTGCAGCCAGGCTTGGGGAGAGCTCACCTGGTGCCCATTTTACCTGGAAGTGGCCAGCACAAGCCATATTTCTGGTCATATGCTCATGGCCAGTGTTGTGGGCTCCCTCCTGGACTGACTCTGTGACCCCACTTCAGGGCTCAGAGTCTGAAATTCCTTAGAGCAGTGGTTCCCACTACAACTCCAACCAGTAATGATACCCCAGACCTCTGGCCTAGAAATTCTGAGTAAGACACCATCCATCATTGTCCCTCCACTTGTGCCATGCTGTGTACACTCATGCCCTGGAAGGAAGAGTTCATGAAAAGCCACACTAAATAGCTCACACTTCTCTAAAGCCTCCAGAGTAGGGAGATACTGCAAAACACACACAGATTTTTCTCTGACCTTGGCTTAGAGACCTTTCTCTTTCCTCACCAGTGCAGAATTTGATTTTCTTCTCCTAGCTTCGCCCTGCTTCAGGGTTATCTCCACCTTCCTCCAAAAGCCCCTGCAATCTCACACTCCTCCCACACCCCAGCAGAGACCACCCCCAACCTCACACTCCTTTCCCATGTCCCAGCATAGCTCCCCAACCTCCAACTTCTCCCCGCACCCTGCACCACAAAGCCCCTCAACCTCGCCATGACCAAAAGCAACTGCCCAATGTTTTCTAAACACAGTTCTGCCACTGGGATTGTAGAAGGTGACATTTTCTCAATTTTGTTATTATACAGGGATGTACAAACTAGTAGCCTCACATTGGATCCTGCCACAGCTAGGTTTCCCCTAAGCAGCATTCTTTAGAAGCTGAATTGGGTTTTGCACCTGCCAGGCCTAGCAGGAAATAGAACCCACCCAGGAAAGGCCAAATGAAGAGTTCACATGAGGCCTATCTAATGGGGTGGGCTGTGATGCCCAGTTTATGAGGGATGTGGAGACCCCCAGGGTCTGAACAGCAGAAGGGACTGGGCACCCCAGCAACCATAGATCTGAACTAGGCCTCTGGAAGAATGAGCTCCCCCACCCCCCATCCTGTGATCCCCCCAAGAGAACAGCTGGAGCCACAGGCCAGGGCAGGGCAGAGAATAGGTGGGGAGGCACAGATCCCCAATGACAACACAGCCTCCAACTCTGAGGAGCTTGCAGATCAAACTCGGGTTTTCAAGTTTCTTTTGGAAACTCAAAAGATCTAGTTTCTCTGAACTTTGGAATGTCAGATTTAGCAAATCACAATACAAGGCACTCAGATTCAGTGTGAATTTTAGATAAACCAGGAATCATCTTTTAGTGAGTGTGTCCCTTAACTACTGATCCAGAATGCTCATGTAACCGGTGGGCAGCCTGTTCTTCATCTGGCTGCCCTCCTGCACCCAGCTCTCCAGAGGTCGATCCTGCCCACTCCCTCTGAAACCAGGGCAGTTGTGCACAGGACCCCAGGGGACTCACACACACCTACAGCTCCATAGCTTTTCCCCCCGCATGTGACACATGGGCACACCCCTCCTCTACCCCCCGCCGCCCAAACTAAGTGTGGACCACCTCAAATCCACGGGGCAACGCAGAAGGAAGGCAACTGGACCCCGCCTGACCTACTTGCCCCCCAGGAGAGGGAGCAGAAGAAGAAGCTGCGGGTGCATCAGAAGATGACCTACTCGTCCAAAGTGTCAGCCAAGCACACCAGCTTACTGCGTGAGCTGCAGCTGGAGGACAAGACAGAGGACCAGGAGGCATGCACAGAGGCCGAGCAGCTTCACGCCTTCCACGAGCACACTGCCTGGAAGCTCTCCATGACCAAAGGTGCTACTCCTCCCTCCCCCACATTGGATCTGCGCTCCCCACAAGAAGGCAGTGTTTTAAAAGTACTTGAAGGGGAAGGGCTGCAGTGCAGTGGGGAAGAGGGTCTTCTCTGACTCCTGCCTCCAGTGTCACACAGATCAATTCCAGACGAAGCGCAAGTCTAAGAAGAGCCTTTGAATCCCAGTATCGCATGCATGCTGAGTGTTGACTATGCGTAATGAATGCAGGTTGTATAAATATAGGCATTTAACTTGGAGATAGAGTCAATGTAGAATGAAATTGCCTGGCTTCAGCATTTAATGGCTGCACTGTCCTGGGCAAGTTCGCTAACTCCCTTGCATTGCAGTTTTCTCTCCTGTCTGATGACAGTAGCAACCTCATGGTTGTGCAATTCAACCTTGTTTGACACTGCACGTAGTGACAAAGAACTGTGTGTGTGTGTGTGTGTGTATACTTTTATCAATCCAGATGATAAAGTATAATATTACTAAGCTAGAAAGAAATAGTTGGGATCAGAGAGTTCTGGAATCCCCAGGACTACAGGTGTACTGGATGTGAATATGAACATAAGGAGACCCACAGCCTCCACCCAGATACCCATGGCTTGTTCTTTGGGGTAGGAAGCTCTGCGTTTGCTTTGATATTTGTGTGTCGAGCTCTGCAATGGGGGGAGCAGCACAGAATGTGTTTTCTTTCTGCCTTCACCCTTTATTCCTAGGAGAGGCAGGTGGTATCTGGATGGGGAAGCCTGGACCCAGTGTGTTTGAACACAAGACTTGTCAGTGTCCCAGTTTTGGCTTCCACTGAGGAGCTGGCTCCTTGAGGGCAGGACTTCCCCAGGGTAGATCAGAAAGGCAGGGGCCTAGTGGGCTCACTGCCAGGCATCTAGACTTAAAACGACTCCAGCAGCACACCAGCTTATTCTGGAAAGGAGATGATTTGAGAGACAAGACAGAGAGCCACATGGTTCTGCAGTTGTTTCTATAGTCCCTGGGCTCTCCAAAATTGGTGAGTGTCTAGGTCTTCCTTTCCAGAAAGGCCAAGGAAAGAGGCCTCCACAGCCCTTGGCCCCACTGGACTGCCTCTCTGCTTGGACTCTGGAAGGTCATCCAGAAGCCCACCTTAATTTCCTCTCACCTGGTTTAAACCCTGACAGTGTAGACTTAGCTGCTGCCCAAATTGGGCCCTGGGGGGTTAGGGTACCCCAAGTTGAGATAATGCTGCCCCATTTTTCTCTCAGGTCCTGGGCAATAGGCCTTTTGTTATGAAGTCCAGTTGGGTGAAAGTTTCAGGGTAAAAATGTCCAGTTTCACTTCAGGTGAGAGGAGTAGACAGCGAGAGGCTCTGCCCATCTGGACCTGCCTCTGGGCATGGAGACACAATACCTCCACAGAGCGTCCCTCCTTTTGCTATAGGCAGGCTCGTTCTCCCATGGTCCCTGTAATAACCTGGGGCTTACAGCATAGCACTGCACCAGGAGCAGCTGACCAACTCCCCATTTCTGACTATGAGCCCATCCTCAGTTGTGAACCTGGGTCTCTTCCACTGCCCACCCCATCCCCAGATGCCTCCCTTCTCTCATTGCAGAAAAGAAAGGGGAATCTGATAACATAAACAAGTACATCAATCAGAAACGACAAATGTTCCTCATCCAGGTAGGCCCATCTGCTCCCATGTAGGAGACCTGGGTGGGCTGTCCAGTGAAGAGTGTAATTCCTACTCTGGTGGCCCTCAGTATGCCCTGGATATGAAGCGGAGCGAGATCCAGAGGCTGGAGATGCTGGCAACTAAGGAAGAGGCAGAGCTGGAGCTGGCTGAGAAGTCCCTGGAAAAGGATTCAGCCCTCTTCGATGAGTTCCTCAGGGAAAATGACCGCAGCTCAGTGCAGGCCCTGAGAGCGTGAGCCTGTGGCCAGAGGGGCTGTCTGGCCGTGCCCCCAGGGTCCTCTGGGCCTATGCACACCCACCCAACCAAGCCTGGACCCAGCCTCAGCCCCTGCCTCCACCCCTGCTCCTGACTTCAGACCCCAAACCAGGCCCCTTGTAGCTCTCCCATCTCCAGCTTGGCCTGAGGGCAGTTTGGACACCCCTCTTTAACACTCTGAGATTAGCTCCCTGCCCCCACCCCACCCTCCAGGGCAGAGAAGGAGACCAAAGTGAAGATGGAGAAGATCACTGAAATCCGAGATCTGACCACCCAGATCATGAACATCAAAAGGTAAAGTCAGAGGCAAACTGGGCCCAGGCTGGCCTGCTCACATTTTTTTCCATCACTTCTCCCTAACCAAAGGGTATTACCCCACAATGCAAACATCATTTCTCACTGAGCCCTAAACATCCCAGGGCTTTGAAGCCCTGCAGGCTGATGCCCATCTTACAGATGAGGTGACTGAGGCCAGGAGAGGTTCACTGACTTTCCCAAGGCCACAACACCTAGGACACACATGAATCTGAGGCTTCTGGGCTCCACCCTGGGGATGGGGGCAAGACGGAGTCCCTGAGGGCTGTCACTATGGAAGGTATAACCCACATTGGTCCCTGCAGGTTGGGTGTCCTCTCCCGGGCACAACAGTGCTTCTGTGCCTGCCCTTCTTGGCCAGGGTGAATTGGGGTCCCTTCTTGAGGGGCTTCCCAGGGGGCAGAGGCTGACCTCACCTGTGACCATCTGTCTCCTCCCCCGGTTTAGTGAAATCTCCAAATTTGAAGACACGCTGAAACATTACAAGGTCTACAAAGATTTCCTGTACAATCTCTCGCCCAAGGACTGGTTAGAAGAACAAGAGAAGAAACACTTGGCTTTCAAACATGCCAAGGAGGTCGCCAAGGCCCCCAAAGAGAACACTCTGTTCTTCACACAAGGGGACAAAGGTAGCAGAAAAGACAGGTCCCTGGATGCATCTATACCCTGTGCCCAGCCAGTAGAGGCCTTGGAGGGTGTCCAGGCTGCAGGCTTGGCCCCTTCCATACCCTGCAGAGCCCCAGTTTGGGGCACCAGCTGCCCCTTAGCCACTCGTGGCTCAGGACAAGCACTTGCTTGGGGAAGTAGATCTGGCTCTCAACTCAAACCCAAGGGGCTTTTCTCCTATGAACCTGCTTCCTTCTGCCACTGAGGAGTCCCAGGGAACCCTGTGCCCCCAAGCAGTGTTGCTGCAGGCCTAGTTCCAGCCAAGGCCATCAGGGACTCCTCCCTTGCTTCCTGTAGGACCAGAGATCAAGGGCAAGATGGGCTCCAGAGGTATGTGGCAGCTCCAGGCTGGAGGGGCCCCACCCTGGATTGGTGCAACTAGAAACTATTCCTCTGCTTCCTCCAGAGGGGCAGGGCCCAAGGAAGCCCTGGAAAATGCTGCATTTGATACGGGCAGGGCAGATTCTGTCCAGTGCCATCAGCCTCCAGCAGGGCAGTCAGCCCAGCGTGAGTGACAGGCTGGACCCCAAAGGGTGAGTGGGTTTGAGGGAACCGAAAAGGTGGCTGGGGCCTGGTGGGGGTGCTCTCCAATAGCTCCAGGCCAGGGGTCCCCAGAATGGGCCCAGATTCTCTGAGGGGGGAGAGTGTGAGGAGGGGCTATTCCCAACCTAGAGGATATATAGTCTGACTTAAGCTGGAAAATCAAGAGATTTCTAAAAAAGGTTTGTTTCTACCTGATTCAGTAACCTTAAGGCTGGAGTGGCCCACTCAGGTGTTAATAGACTAGTCAAATATGAAGAGGGCAGCCAGGTAGGCACACAGAACAGGATGGCACATGCCCCATGCCAGCCCTCTGTGGCCAGGGAGTGCTGGCCAAGGGGCCAGAGCTCCAGAGCTGTTCAAGAGAAGCCAGAAGTCTAGACTTCTTTATACAATTACCCAGGTTTAAGGGTAACAGTTACTTTCAAATCTTCTAAAAAACACAATGAAAGACAAACAGAAACTCCAAACAGATCCGTGGGCCAGTGCAAACCTGTCCCTCCACTCCTTTACCTGCAAGGCCAGAGATGCCCCCAACCTACCCTATCTGGTTCACATGTTCAGCTGCTGGGTTACATAGTCACTCCTCCACTGAAATGTTCATAAAAGTCACAACTCTGTAGAAAGTGTAAGCTGAGAAGTGTCAACCTCCCCGTCTCAACACCCCGAACCTCCTGCTAGGCCGTTGGCCCAGGGATCCACAGGGAGCGCTGCAATGAGTTTTATTATTTCCTGCATGTCCTTTCAGTTGTTTCTAAGCAAATAGTATGTTGAACCATATAAAGTTGCTGTGTAGTCAAAAAGAGTATGGGCATGTCTTACGATTCCAACTAAACACAAGCAAAGGCAATTTTCTTATGCCTAACCTTCCTTTCACAAGGGAGCCAACCCTGCAAGTCTCACTATTTCTCCATTAGCAATATTGCCAAGGGGTCTAGAGGCAGTCCTCCTTAGCCAGGGTTCAAGTTTCCCTGGTGGTCTGTCTAGCCCCTGGCCTCTTGATGTTGGCTGCAGTAAAATTCACAAGATACAAATATGGAGCAGGGCACTGAACACAGCATTGCATGGCTGTCTGGCATTGGCCTTCACAGTGCCAGGGCCAGCACTAGGGTGCTCACCTGTCCCTGAAATCTGGATCCCTTCAGGCCAGAGGGATGAAGGCCTGGGGAGCCATGTGGGGAGCCGGAGCAGGCAACTGGCAGGCCTGGAGCTGGGGCAGAGAAGTAGAGTTTGATTGGCTCGTGTGATTGAGGGGCTGGTGAGTCCACAATCTGCAGGACAGTTGGCAGGCTGTAGATCCAAGGAAGCAAAGCTCCCACTTGAGTCCAAAGGCAGGGCTGGCAGAGTTCCCTCTTTTTGGGGACGAGGTCAGTATTTTTCTATTGAGGCCTTCCACTAATTGGGTGAAGCTCACTCACATCATAGCTACTTTATGCAACCTACTTATTTAATTATTAATCTCATCAAACACCTTCACAGACACATCTAGAATAATATTTGACCTAGCCAAATTGACACACAAAATCTACCATCATAGCAGCTCAAAGCTGGGTCTCCTAGCCATGCAGAATCATCCCAGTGTCTGACAGCTCCGTTAGTCATCCTGGAGACTAGCTGAAGGCCAGGCCTCTTTCTGGGCAAGCTCCAGCTCTAATGACTTTTGTCTTTTATATAACCCCTCCAACTCTCACCTCTGGGACAGCCATGTACCTCTCAGACACCTGGATTTCTGCCTGCAATGCTCCTGACATGCCACACACAGTCCCTCTGTTCTCCAGCAGTGACCAGTGAACATAAGAGAGATCTCCTCCCTCCCCAGCCAGCCCCCAGTCCTCACATTGCCCCATCCTCTTACCACCCCTCCCTCAGGTACTCCCTACACCCTTGTTCCTCCAGCTCAGCCACCCCAAACTCTAGCACTTTCTGGAGGGTGAGGAACCAGGCACAGAGCAGCCAGTTGGAGTTGGCACCCTGGGCTCGGGCTCCACAGTCCACCCTTGGCTCCAGGGCCTGCAAAGGTTGGGAAGTTTCTGCACAGTGGTAACATGATCAGATTTAGGTTTTCTTTACTTTTTTCCTCTTACTTTGAAGTGTTACTAATATCACAAAATGAACAAATCTTAAATGAACATTTGGCTTTTTACACACATACATAAACTCATGTGACCATACCCAGATACAGAAAAACATACTCAATGTCCAGAATTCTGATGCCCTCTCCCAGTTAGACCCCACAGTGGAAATTAACCACTGTTTAGATCTCTATCACTCTGGGTCGCTTTTCTATTCTTGAACTTGATGCACTTAAAACCACAATGCACCTCTCTGGGTCTGGCTCTTTTCACTTCGCACTTGCCTGGCTTTGTGTAGCCACAGGCTGTTCTTTGCTCCTGCTGTTTCATATCCTGCTGGGGGGAAAAGCCCCCATTGTCTTTCTTGGTCACTCTCCTACTGGTAGCCGTTTGAGTTATCTCCAGTTCTTGGCTACTTTGATTAAAGCTGCTACCACATTCTTGTATTTTCTATCTAAGCATGTTTTATGCATAAGCACTATTTCTATGGAAATAGAGGTGGAATTTTTGGTTCATGGGGTAGGCATATGTTTAATTTGAGTAGCTTCTGCCATACAGCCCTTTACAGTGGCTTCCCTGTTTTACACTCTCGCCAGCACATGTGAGAGTTCCAGCCTCCCCACTTCATCAAATTGTATTGTCTGTCCCTTTCATTCCAGGTGTTCTGGCAGGGTTGTTTTAAAATAGTGTGTATTGGTAGAAAATTTGAGGTTTAGTGAGGCCAACAGATCAGATGACTGCCAATGAAAAAATAGTTTGTTACAGTTCCCAGAGGAAGAGGCATGCCATGCCCTGGGACCACCTGGGGAAACACCAGGGTGATCAGGAGGCAAAGGGAGCAGAGGAACTATGAATAGGAGCCCTTATTCTGATTTCTGCAGGACGGAAGAGGCGAGGCAGGGTAAGCAGGTTTAGGATTGGCTGGTTTGAATAATTTCAGGTCTCTGGGGCATGGTGGCTATCCCAAGTTGTCTGGTACCCAGCTCTGTGTGATGAGATAGCACCTCCAGTGTGAGAGCTTGGGATGTGGGTTCTAGGTTGGTTGCTTTGCACTTGAAAATCACATTCAAGGATGTTCATCCCTCCAGAGTCAGCATGGCCCCAGAAGTCAAAATATCAGAATACAGAAAATCAAAGACAGAGTTAATACAGGGGTGAGGTGGTATCTCATGATTTTAATGACAGTTTCACAATGAAAAATATGACCATTCAGATATCCTCCTTTGTGAAAAACTGTTCAATTTTTGTACCTTTTCATTGGATTCTTAGCCTTTTTTTTCTGGTTTTCTATTAGTGCTTTATATATTGATTCCAGTCCTTTATGTAATAAGCAAAGTATAAGTATCTTTGTCCAGTTTTTTGCCTTATTACTTTTTTTAAACCCTCAACCGAGGACATTTTTGCACTTATCTTGAGATAGAGCTGGAGGGACAGAATGTGGGAGAGAAACATCGACGTGAGAGAGACACACTGAGTGGTTGCCACCCACATGACACCAACTGGGCCGGGGACAAACTATAACCAAGGTATGTGCCCTTAGCGGGAACCGAACCCAGGTCTGTCTGGTCCATGGGCTGACACTCTTAACTGCTGAGCCAAACTGGCCAGGGCTCTTGCCTTATTACTCTTAACGTTATCTTTTGAGTACAGTTTATCAATCTTTGCTTTTATTATTGGTGTATTTTGTGTCTTTCTTAAGAAATCTTTGTCAACCATAAAGTCACTAAAATAATCTTCTGTTTTGTTCTGTATACTTCATGGTTTATCAGCTTGGATGAGTGGGGATGGAGAAAGTGGGTAGCTCGGGAGCCCAAGAGTCTTCCCCCCTTCTCCTTCTCAGGGTCTATATCTTCCACTCATCCCTTTATGTGCTCTGTCCTTCCCTCTCCACAATGACCTGGCAACCCCTCCCATGGTTCTGTCTCCCACTGTTTCCTGAGCTCCAGGCCCCTATGGATGTCTCCCATTAGATGTTCTCTACACTCAACCTCTCATATCCCAAACTGATACTTCTCAGACTAGAAGGAAACCCAAGCACTACCAATTTACAAGCTCATGTTCATCTTTAAGAATGGTCATACCTTATGGAGAAGAGCAGCCACCTTTGGTGGGCCAGGCACATGCCATAGGTTAACTCTGATCTCTGAAACCCCTGGCAGTGGGGGCTGCTATTTCCAGTTCAATGTTGAATTGAGGCTCCAAGAGGTTAGATAAGCATGCTTCCTCTGCGTAGGTTGCCCCTTAGACCTAGAGCTCTCATTGTAAGGTCCCATGTTGGGACAGTCACTGAGAATAGAGGTCTGGGAGAACACTTTGGGCCCCTCCACCTATTAGCCATGTGACCAGGCCTCTGAGTAAAGTTAGGTAGGGTGTGATTGCACATGGCACTTAGCCAAGAGGTCAAGCGGGGCCTAAAGTCCAGCCCACATCCCAGGCTATGTCCATCTGTAGGACAGATTCTCAAAAGCATACCTCATGGGCCAACAATACCCTGCAGGTGACCTTGGGCAGGTGACCTGATTTTTGAGCTGCATGTTCCTTATTTGTCAACTGAGCATCAATGTGTATACAATATGAGGCCCTGGCACAGTGAGTACTTAGTAGCTTCTCCTGCAAGGCCCTGCATTTATTTATCACTTGTCTACTGCAGGTAGGTCAGGGCCTAGCCCTAGAGTGTCTCAGGCCTCAGCCTAGGTTCCTCTGGCTGTGAGCCTGCCCTGCCCATTCTTCAGCTACCAGAACCTGCAAATCCGAGTAACCTTGGGCAGTGAGGGGGCTAGAGCAGGTGCAGAGGGTGGTAAAACAGGTCTGGATGTTGGGAAAATAGGCCCCATGCTGAATGCTCCAAGCCCACACAGTCTTTTCGGTACCCCTGAGGGCTGCCCAAGATGATCTCTGCTTCTGTGGGGTGCTCAGGGTCAGTTGAAGATGGCTGTGTCACAGGATAGCTATGAGGACCATCAAGGACAACTGCCATGGCCAAATCTAGATAAAGGATATGGGCAGAAAGGCCCTGAAAGTGGCTTTTTAAAAAAGGATGACAAATGAAGAGGGGAAGCCCCAGTAATGGGAGCCACAGGTGCCAAGGCCCTGAGCCAGAGCTGCACCTAGAGAGACAGGAAGGTAGTCGGCAGGGCAGGAGCCGAGTAACCTTGGGCAGTGAGGGAAGTGAAGGTTGGAAGGGTGACAGGGTCCCCACAGCTCCTGGGTGGAGGCCAAGTTTTATTCTAACTAGAGAAAGATGAGTTAATTGAATTTTGTAACTATCCCCCTGGTTGCTGTGACAGCTGGGGGATCAACAGGAAGCTGGTGCCACCACTTGGGTAACTTGTGTGATGGACAAGGGGACAAGGGTATAGGGGTGGAGAGATGCTGTAGACATGCCAGGAGTCTACACCACTGGGGTGGGGAACAACAGCCCAGGCTGAGCTCTGGCACCCTGAACCCACATCTCTCCACAGGTCCAGCTCTGCCCTCCCCATGCAAGAGGACCCAGACAGTGATGAGGAGGTCAGTGGTCCCATTCTTGGCAGGGCTTGTGGGACCCAGGGCCCCACCACTGCACTGCCGGGGGCTTACCCCCCCCCCCATACCCCCACCCCACACAGCTCTGGTTGCAGGAGCTGGAGCTGTATTTCACGGAGCCACAGCAGCTCCTGGATGTCTTCACAAAGCTGGAGGAGCAGAACCTCTCGCTGATCCAGAACACACAGGAGATGGAAGAGACCTTGGAGGAGCTGAGCTTCACCCTGAAAAACACCCAGATCCGCATGTAAGTCTTGAATGGGGCTGCCTAGGCCAGTGAGGAGTAGGCTCTGCCACTGGTTGTGATCCTGGGACCTCCACAGCCACTGGGAGCTGGACTGTAGCCCCCCCCCCCCCTCCTCTCTGTCCATTGCCCTGGCCCTTCCCTGACTTCTAGTTTCTGGAAAGTTCCATTTGAAGTCTGTGCCTGGCTCTGGTGAGAATATGTGTTCTATTGGGCAGGGAAGCTGAGGGTCATGGGATCCCAGGAGAAGCCTGGGAGTAGGTGATGTGGGTGGAGCCACACCAAACTGGTCCATCCCCACCCTAGAGCAGTCTATAGCCAGAGGGGCACATCTTAAGAATCTCTCATCCCAGGTACATTCAGGGGAGCTGGACTAGGCAGGGTCAGGTGGGGGCACTAGGTAAGGCCTGTTGGGAACAAAGAATTCACTCCCAAACTCAGACTGAGCACCTATTCTGGGTCAGGCCTAGGTCTAAGCCCTCCAAGGATAATATAAGGCCCTTTCTCACTGAGCTGACATTCCATGGGGCAGACAGACAACAGATGGGCCCACAGATTTGACTTGTAGTTACTGACACATGCTAGGAGGAAAATTAAGAGAATGATATGAGCAGAGGGCTAAAGTGGAGGGTGGCACAGATTGATGAGGGCAGGGAGGATTTCTAGGGAAAATGTCATTTGAGCCAGGCACTTCTTGAGTTCTGGGAAGCCACATGGTGATCTGATTAGAGGGTGCCAGGCAGAGGGAAAGCAAGTGTAAAGACCCTAAGGTGAGAGCTAGCTCAGGCTTCAATATCCCACAGAGAAATAATGTTCCTGAATACCTATGTCCTTTTGGCCCATGTCCTGCTATGGAGAATAACCTATGGGAATTTCCAGACTTATGTGAAACTACCAGCTCTCAGGCAAGTTTGTGTTTCCCATAAAGCTGGGAGGTGGCAGAGACACACATAGAGATGAGCTGGGGAGAGGCAGGTAGCCTCCCAGATTCCAAGAACCTGGTAAGAGGACACATCCATGCACACATACACCTCATAGAATCCTGGAGGTGTTGTTCAGTGACTGGGCTTCAGCTAGTTGAGCCACTTCAACAACTGAGCCATACTGAACACCAATGCTTTATTTCCAGGGAAGGCACAGCTTATATGTGTTTAACTTCCATGAACTCAACTATCCTTCCAAAGGAAGATACAATTTTTAAATATACAATAAATAAACCATCTAAATAGGTCTATCTATTGAGGAAATTAAATTAATAATTAATAACCTTCCAAAACCAAAAGCATCATACCTAGATGGGTTCACAGATGAATTCTACCAAACATTTTAGGAAGAAATTATATCAATTCTGTACAATCTTTTCCAGATAATAGAATACTTCCTAACTCATTTTATATGACTAGTATTACCCTAATACCAAAACCAGACAAAAACATTACAAGAAAACTACAGATCAGTATTTCTTATATACATAGATGTAAAAATCCTTAACAAAATACTGAATTCAACAATATATAAAAATATTTCTATACCATGACCAAGTGAGATTTTCCCCAGATATGCTAGGCTGGTTCTGCATTTGAAAATCAATTTGAAAAGCAATCAACAAGCTAAAGAAGAAAAATCACATGATCATATCAACAGATGTAGAAAAAGCATTTGATAAAATCTAATCATTCACAATAAAAACTCTCAGTAAATTAAGAACATGGGGGAACTGCCTGAGCCTGATTAAGGACATCTACAAAAAAACCTTACAGTTAACACTGTTCTTGAAGCTTCCTGCTAAAATCAGGAACAAGGCAAGGATATCCTCTCTCTATATTTCTTTTTAACATAACTGGGAGTCCTAGCTAATGCAATAAGATAAGCAAATTAAATAAATGGTATACAGATTGGGAAGGAAGAAATAAAGCTCTCTTTGGAGATGACATGATTGTCTCTGCAGAAAATCTGAAAGAATCAACCAAAAAAAAACACACCCCTCCTAAAACTACTAAGCCACTGTTGCAAAGTTACAGAATACAAATATACCAAAGTCAATTCTTTCCTATGTATCAGCAATGAACAAGTGGGACTTGAAATCCAGACACATGGAAGTAGGGCACAGACTGACATCCCTCAGAAGAGGGGATGGGGGGTGGGGGGGTGGGAAGAGATAAACCACAGAACTTATATGCATGTATGCATGACCAATGGACATGGACAACTAAGCCGGGGACAGGGTGGAGGGGGGGTGGGGTGGGGGGTGCCAATGGGGTAAAAAGGTAAAATATCTGTAACAAAAAAATAAATAAAAATTCATTTAAAAACAAAAACAAAAACAAAATACCATTTACATTAGCACCCCAGCTAATGAAATAATTAGGTATAAATTTAACAAAAAATGTACAAGACAATAGTAAGAAAATGAGCAACCTAAGTAAAAAATGGTCCGAAGACCTTAACAGATACCTCATCAAAGAAGATATACAGCCCAGCTGGAGTGTCTCGGTTGGTTGAGTATTATCCTGTGCACCAAGAGGTTGCCAGTTCAATTTCCAATCAGGGCACATGCCTTGGTGTGGGTTCGATTGCCGGTTAGGGCGAGTGCAGAAAGTAACCAATCAATGTTTCTCTTTCACATAGATCTCTCTCTCTTTCTCTCTCAGCATGTCCTCTGGTGAAGATTAAAAAAATAAAAGACATACAGATATACAGATGGCAAATAAGTATATGAAAAGGTGTTGAAGAGCAGATGTCATTAGGGGACTGCAACCTAAAACAGTAAGATAGATAACTACTGTACACCTATTAAAGTGGCCAAAATCCAAACTGGCACCAACAAATGCTGAAGGATGTGGAGCAACAAGAATTCTCATTTATTACTGTTGGAAATGCAAACTGGCACAGCCACTTTGGAAAAGTTTCTCATTTTCTTAGAAAACTAAACATAATCTTAAACATATAATAAAGCAATTATGTTGCTTAGTATTTACCCAATGGAATAGAAAACTTATGACCACTTAAATACCTGCACATGGATGTTTATGGCAGTTGTATTCATACTTGCCAAAATTTTGAAGCAACCAAGATGTCCTTCCATGGGTGAATGGATAAACTGTGGTATATCCAGATAATGGAATATTATTCAACACTAAAAAGAAATGTTATCAAACCATGAAAAGACATGGGGGGTATACCTTAAATGTATATTACTAAGTGAACAAAGCCCATCTAAAAAGGCTATGTACATACTATAAGATTCTTAACTATTGGATATCCTAAAAGGCAAACCTATAGAGACAATGTAAAAATCAGTGGTGCCTAGTCAGTTTGGCTCAGTGGATTGAGCATCATCCCATGCACCAAAAGGTCATCAGTTTGATGCCAGATCAGGGCACATGCCCGGGTTACAGGCTTAATGCCCAGTAGGGGGTGTGCAGGAGGCAGCTGATCAATGTTTCTCAATGTTTCTATCTCTCTCTCCCTCTTCCTTTCTCTCTAAAAAACAAATAAAAACATATATTTTAAAAAATCAGTGGTTCCCAAGGGTTAGGGAGAAGGAGGGTGAATACGTGGAAGACAAGATTTTTAGGGCAGTGAAACTGCTGTGTATATTGTAATTGTGGATACATACATTTTTCAAAACATATAGTATGTATAATACCAATAGTGAACTTCACGTACACTATAGACTTTGGGTGCTAACAATGTGTCAGTGGAGATTCATCGATTTTCACAAACACACCACTCTGGTGCAGGATGTTGATAGTGGGAGAGGTGGGGGTGCAGAGGGAATTTGGAAAATCTCTGTACTTCTGCTTAATTTTGCTGTGAACCAAAAACTGCTTTAAAAAAAGTCTCTATTTAAATACTATACACAACAGTTAACGATCAGTTTGTTCCAACAATGGAAGAAAAAGTGGCTGTTAGAGACAGTGTACAAAACAATCCCAGGAATGTTCACAGCAAAGTTATTCATACTAGCCAAGAACTGGAAAAACCCTACATAACATTAAACATTTTAAACATTATATATATTTGGTATTTTAAAATTACAGTTGATGTACATTATATTAGTTTCAGGTGTACAGGCATAGTGATTATTATATAACTTACAAAGTGATCACTCCAATAAAGCTAGTACTCATCTAACATCATATATAGTTATTATACTATTACTGACTATATTTCCTATGCTGTACTTTTACATCCCCATGATTGTTTTTATAATTGGCAGTTAGTACATCTTAATCCCTTCCTCTTTTTCACCCATCCTCCAACCACTCCTATCTGGCAGGCAACCATCAAAACGTTCTCTATATCTATGAGTTTGTTTCTCCATTATTTTTTTAGATTCCAGATAAAAATGAAATTACATAGTATTTGTGTTTCTCTAACTTATTTCACTTAGCATAATACACTCTATGTTCATCCATGTTGTTGCAGATGGCAATATTTCACTTTTTTATGGCTTAGTAATATTCCACTCATATATTGATAGACACTTAGGTTACTTTCATATCTTGGCTATTGTAAATAATGCTGCAGTGAACACAGGGATGCATGTGTCTTTTCAAACTAGTATTTTGGGTTTCTTCTGATAAATACTCAGCAGTGGAATTGCTGGGTCCTTCTTTGTCTTTTGTTATAGCCTTTAAGTCTGTATTGTCTGATATAGGTATTGCTATTCCAGTTTTTCTTTGTTTTCATTTGCATTAAATATTTTTTTCCATCCCTTTACTTTCAGTCTGTATGTTTCAGTGTGAAGTGGGTCTCTTGTAGGCAGCATGGATCTTCTTTTCTTATGTATTCAACCATCCTTTTGATTGGAGCATGTAATCCATTTGCATTTAAAGTAATTATTAATAGATAAGTCATTATTACCATTTTATTATTCATATTTTTCCTCTTTTTGTTGAAGTCCATTTAACATTTCTTTTTTTTTAATTTTAAAATAATTTTATTGATTTTAGAGAGAGAGGAAGGGAAAGAGATAGAAACATAAATGAGAGTGAACA